TCGTCAGGAGGGAAACACGCTCTCACACCACAAATTGCAAGGACCAGAGCAGTTACAGCTCTGAGACGGGTCAAAAAGGGCATCACAGATTTAGAATCAAGAGGCTTGAGGTAAACTGGCATAAAATGGAAATGTCACAACATGAGCTACAAGCCACAGGGAGGAGAAGCCGAGATGAGGGCTCTGTTTCTGCAGTTCTCCTCACTACCCGGTGACTGAGCAAGATGCCGAGTATTTCTGGCCCTTATTTCATCGCGAATTGCCTCTTTTGCTTGGGTTTTAAGTCCACTGAACTCTACCAAGCATTTTGAGAGGCCTGGACAAAGACTACTACCGTTCCCAGGAGGGAACACACAACGCCAGCCCCTACCCACCCCCATTCCCAACTGCATACCTCCAGCATACCGTGTGCGGTTTTATCCAGCATCTCTGAGAGATGACACTGTTTTATCCAGCATCTCTGAGAGATGACACTGTTTTATCCAGCATCTCTGAGAGATTATGGTTTTCCAGCCTCAAGGTTTTAAGCTGGACCAGAATTACATGAGGAGACAGAGGCACACAAGCAGCTCAGAAAAAAGACCACAACACACGCCCACATGCCCCACAAGTGTTTTCCACCCTCAATTCAAGCCTGAGTACAAAGTAAGGTTTCGGGCGTTATTTCTGCAGGGACCCTATAGAGAAGGCCATCCAAATAACCATGCACAGCCATTGACTTTAGTTTTCAAAGATGGCATCATCCAGGCATAGTTAGCATGAGTGATCTCAAAAGCTTCTGTCAGTTTGAGGTTGGAAAGAAGCAGCAAGACAGGTTCAGTGAACAGCATAAATGAAAAGATTTCACCAGAAGGCTCTCTAAGTCTTTGTTCAAAGGCTGAAGAGAGAAGGAAACCATTAACATAGCTAAAAACTAGGATGGGATTCCAAGCCTTCAGATCCCTTAAAGAGACAGCGTAAGAGTCTTCTGCTTTTTTACCCTGTGCTCCACCGCTTTCCTCTCTGCTCTTTCAATCTCCGTTCTCAGCCGTTGTTCTAGGTCTGATGTGGAGCCACTGGCAGATGCAATGGTGATGTCCCGTTGGTGTAACTCTTGTGTCAGCCTGGAGATTTCCCTTTTCATCCCTTCCAGCTCACTGCTGTGAGCTTGTTCAGCTTGAGAGAGCTGCTCCTTCAGCTGGAGGAAGATATGCACACACCACCCACGAGCTTTTAAAGGATGTTTCAGCAAAAAAACAAAAGTATTGCACATGGTAATGTGAAATCCAAGTACAGGAAAACAAAAAGCTCTACATAACAAACCCCTTGTGCACGCTTGTCCTTCGTGACTGAAAACCACCTCATCCCAGTCCTTTTTCACACCATAAACTGACAACTGGGACAAGACATAAGTTACATGCTGTGGAGTACTCAAGAAGACCCAAAATTGAACAAATCACAGTCTCTTTAGCTCACCACTCCACCTCTGTGTCCCACTACAGATACCCACGGGTTTACCATCCCCGGGCAGGCACAGCAACACTGTCATAAGCCAACCTTGCCATCTGCCGCTCCGCCATCCCGAGGCAGAGATGGTCTCTTTAAATACCTCTAGACAGACTTTTCTTCCATGAATCTGTCCTACGTGTTTTGAATCGATATTAGCTTGTAGCAACTCAAGCTACACATGGCAGACTTCCACAAGCTGGCTATGCACAGGGTAAAAATATACCCCTTTGTTTTCATAACTCCATTCGATGACCACTAGTCCCTGCATTACGAAAGAATAACCATTCCTCTATTTACTTCCCACATGACAGACACGATTTTATTTTTAGTACCTTCAATCTCATTTATCTCTTTGCCAGTTTGGTAAGTCTTATCCTATTCAGCTGTTCCTTGTATAAAAAGCACTCCATCCTTTTGGTCATCTTTTTCCATACCTTACCTTGTTTTATTAATTTTTTTATTTTTTTTTTTAGATAGCAGACCTGAACTGCATACAATATTCTGGTAGGCACACCACGCAGTTATTCAGTGACATAACAGAACAACAACATAGCATAATTTCTTCCCTAGTATTCCGTTCCATTATCCAGAAATATTAACTACCCGAACCTCCAGGATTTTTCTGAAAATTACAAACATTTTAGAAAATTGAACCAGATGATCTCTGCCTAGCCATGTAAATACTATACATATGGTGATTTATCTCCATGTCACCTCCATGCCTCCCAAGTATATAAAATAGAAACAACCACAATAAATCTCTCTTTCCTCCCCAGCAGCCTGTAGGAGATTCATTTATTGTGGCTGCTTAAATGTGTAACCAAGCACGCATCTCCGGCAAGATCTGCATCACTGTACGTTGAGAATAAAGGATGAAAGATTTTCACAAAGTGAGGTTTTTCACTCAAGTCCAATAAGGTTTCAGCTCTAAGCAGGCTCCAGCGAAAGCTCTCACATGAACTCATCTAGAGCATCACCAAGTCAAGCCTTTTGGAGGTCTTGCCTCCCCTGGGTGCATAGAGCACGAGGGTGAGGTTCTCATGGCAGATGAGTTGCTCTATTTCCTCCAGACCCTGGAGTATGTCTAGGTATCAAGCCTGAAACAAACTCCCTTACTGACATAACGGACTAGAACACATTTGAAGTCTCCAGTGTGATAGTACAACAAAACCCTTTCCTTCCCTGTTTTTCACCCTGTCAGAAGCCTGTGTCAGGCTTAAGGTCAGGATTCCAGGCATGAGTTCTTTGCACAGTTGCCCCTCCACCACTAGCTGAAGGATCTCCACGCTGCAAAGAAGCACTGCATGATGTAGGAGAAGGCCTAAGAGGTGCTCACAAAGTAAACCTCTGAGCCACGTACAGAAACCTGCAAACCCATCCTCTGAACTCTTCCTTCATCGGATTTGCCCCTTACCCTTCAGCATATCACTGCCTCCACAGCACCCCTGGCCTTTCATCCCCTTTGCAGCTTTGCTAACTGTGCACTGCAGCCTCTGCCGGGGCAGGACACACGCGGGAACGGCTGATGCCACGCGGGCCTCCCCGCTCTCCAGGAACAAAGCGACGTTACCTTTTTAATCTCTGCTTTTGACTCAGTATGGTGTTCCTCCATTGACTGCATCTCTTTGATATTCTCATCCAGCTCTTCACTCAGCTGTACACACCTTGCCCTTGAAGACACCAGGCTGGGTGCCAAATGGAAAACTACAGATTAGAATACCCCAAAGAGGAGGACGTGGTCAGAGCAGCTTTGATCTTCCAAACAGTCTCCTATGTCCGTCGTAACAGAAACTGAACTCTTAACCTACAAGTTCCTTACCAATTCTTTGGTTCTGTGTACCAAAATAATTTCAAGAGAGATCATGAAGCTGATCTAACAGGTAATAGCTGTTTCTTGTTCATTTCTTTACCATAGCAAGATCACAAACTTCCCATGCAAACATTAGCCTGAAAACCACAAACTCAGAGAGGAAGGCTGGGTTATAATTCTTATTTCGCAGTAAGGTCTAGATCTGGTTTTTACCAGCTGACTAACAAAGACTCCCTAACCTTTTACCAATGAAGGTGCTAAGCCTAAGCAAGCTAAAACACTGAAAACACCCACAGTGTGCAATGAAAAGCAGCCAACCAATTAGCAAAACACTCTCACTCTCTCTGCAAAATGAATAGCATTTGATTTCTTCAGCCTTTTCATATTTAAAATAAGCCTACAAAAATCAGTGGGACGGGTTAACTTGATGAATACAATATATTAGGTATTGTATTATTATCCAAGTTTCGTTGCTCATGCAAGGGAAGCAAGTAGTTGGCTACCTGTTCTTGAGATGAGTCACCTCTGACTGTAAGTGCTGTTCCTTCTTCCAGGCAACATCCAGCTGCAGTAGTACATGCTCCAGCTCCAGCCCTGGAGAAGACAGTTGCTTCTCCTGCAAGCGTTCCTCCAGAGTCCTGAGTAGAAACATTAATCTCAGTACAAGACTGTCACATCTGAGTTCACTAATACAGGGAACATAACCACCATTTTCTTGGAATTCTCTAAAAATACATAAAACCCAACACTAGGTGACACCTGTGTGCATTACGAATACACAAACGTGTCAGCTGGATGACAGCCCCCTGTTTGAGCTCAGGCTGATTGAAAAAGACTACATCCTATTTTGATGTTGGCCTCCCTGATCCGGACAGTCTCCCTGCTGTTAGCAGACACCCAGCTTGCCAAAAGTGTGGCTGTCGGGTAACACACACCAAACACTTCTGACATGACCATCAGAACCCTGGAGCTTTTGCATGCTGCCAGTGCAGAGGGGGAAAGCCAAGATGATTTTGTCACATATGTAGTTATCTTACCAAGACCCTAATCTGACATCGTGAAATCGGTGAGAACTGCCACCTACATGAAGAAGCATATTATCAAATCCTGAAAGACCTCCAGCAGTCGACTGAAAATGCCTGGGGAAAAAAAGCTCAAAAGCCCTGTGCTGCCTCCCGAAACCTAGCTGAGAAGAAAGCTGATTCCTTCCACACTCATCACCAAGAATCAGTTGATTTCAAAAGCAATGCAGTTTGGCAAATGCTGCAAGGAAGCACAGCATTTCTCAGAAACTACAGCGTACCATTCACAGCCAGCCATATGAAACTGCTTCTGCCATCCTCAGCGGGAGAACCTGGAATATAGGTCTGGATTCAAGAACGTAAGTACCAGTGAGGCGCAGACGCTACCTGATGAGTTCTTTTGTGCGAAGAGTTTCAGTTGCCCTGGCCAGCTCTTTCTGTAACTGTTCCTGGTGCAGCTTGGAGCTGTCAATGAAGTCTTCCTGAGACTGCAAGGTGGCTCTGAGTTCCATCTTCTCATCCTGGAGCACCTGCAAAGGAGGAAGAAGGAACAACTGCTGCAAGATGGACCAAGTCAGTTTGTCGTAAAGCGATGAGACGTTGCTTAGATTTTTAAGGAACCCTTGGAAATACCACAGAGCGCCACAGGGCTGCAAAGCCAGCTTTGAAGCCAATCGGGAACTTTACAAAGGCTCTAGAAAGAGATGGGAGCCCTGGGACGAAGAGCCTTCCTGCTACTTCTCACAAGCAACTACTGTATATTCAGTTTCCTAACAGCTCCTCCACTGACCTCTAACATTTTCTTGGACTGCCTTAACTCTTCTTGAACTGTTTGCTGATCTTCCAGAATCGTCCGATTGTTTTCAGTCAGCTCATCCACTCTCATGTTAAGCCTCTCCACCTCCAACTCTTTGGCACAGATAGCGTCATTGGCCCTCTCCAGCTTGCTGGTTAAATGCTGGGTTTCCAACTGGCTAGCCAGCTCCACCAACTCCAGAATCTGCTTCCGATTGGCAAGCTGAGTCTGCTAAGAGCAATTGGTTTGCATTGAAGCTAAATTATAGAAAACACAGTGTATCATAACTACATTCACAACAACCACTGATTTGTGTATAAGCCATGTTCTCAGAGCAAGCAATACTGCCTCTCAGGAAATTAGGGAAAGTACTGTTCCAGGGTTACACAATGGGTAAAACTTCTGGAGGCAAATAGAATAAATAAAAAACCCGAGGAGGCCCTCTGATTCCAAAAGGGGTTCTAAAAGAATCTGAGAAAAGAAGATCTTAAATCACTCGAGTAGTCCAAGTATGAACTGTCTAAGAACAAAGCTGCCTCCTCTTTTTTGCTCATTAACTTAAGGACAGACCAGGAGCAATGGCAGCATGGGAGGTGGTTTGTCAATACCATACACAAGCTAGAGATTACCCAATTGTTAATTTCACACCAGGACAGAAAGCAGCTCTTGGTACACAATTTAAAAAAAAACACAGCCACCAAACAGATGAGAAACCAAACTGGGTGTAACACTCAATCATGTTTTGCTTTATGCAGTAAATATCTGGTTCTAACAGCTTGCAAGAATGCTCACTTTGAATGTGTCATTGTTTTAATGGCAGACAAAAAAAATTATAAGGAGCATATGACTAGCAAACAATACTTGCTCTATTATTTATAGGCACAATACTTTATTTCATAACATTTCTTTCCCCCTAGCTAGCTGGTGAAATTTAACAAGCTAGCTCTCATATAAGCTTCTAAGAATATTCACTTCATATATCCCTTTTTTGTACAGTACCTTATAATTTTTAAAGGCTGAAACAAAATATTTGAGTAGTCCTTTACTCCCAGTTTCTAAGAGTAGCAATTCCTGCCAGTTTCAGAATCACCACATGCCTTGATTTATTGCCTGACACGTAATGCCTCATAACAGAGAAAACTACAGGAGCTGTGCATTTGGAAGACTACAGTATAATTTTGATTACAGCCCTTTCATTATTTGAATAGTCATGACAGAAAATGTAATCAGGAGGGGTAAGAGTTCAAAGTACAGCCTTTCTCCTCCCAAGAAACCAGAGTACCAGACTAACTGAATATTTATGGCTGCATTAAGAAAACATTTAAGCTATCTCTTATTTCCAGCCACAGCACATGCAGGACAGCACAGAATTCCAAGTTTCACCCGTTGCCTTTAAAGGCTGCAGGTGTTACAGGAAGGTGCTCAGCGAATATGAATGCCAGACTTCCCTAAGCTGCACTGAAAGATATGAGGGGAAGCCAGTTGAAAGAAGAGAAAGGGAAGGTATACTCCATGGTCACAGATTCCAGTTTGACCTTGTGCCAGAAAAACAACCAAGCGTACAAAACGCATAGAAACATCCAAGGCAAAAGTTTAGCACTTTTATGCTGGGCTCTTCAAAGAAATGGATAATTCAGGCAGTCTGTTCGCAGTACCTATGCACCTAACTCACCCACCCCGCTTAGGAAAAATCTCCCCAAATCCCTGTTTTTCTGCTGCACAGTAAGGAGAGTTCCTCTGCGCTCCAGGATAGCAGCCTGCGCTCCAAGGACACATCTGTTCTCTGACAATTGAGCTATCAATGACACAAAGACAGCAGAGCAGCAGGACCTTCTGCTCAGCGACTCTTTCTGCATTTGTGGATCTCCCAGTGTCAGCCTCTCACAAAGCCCCTGTCAGAGCCAGTTTCAATCCTGTCATTACAAACTTCCTCCTTGCAGGAGCTTCCACTCAAGAGCAACTCCGGAGCCCATTAAGTGGAAAGCCCCCAGCACGAGCTTCTTATCAGTGTCGGCTGTGATTGTGTCAGTGTGACTTCACAGCTGTGCTCTAGGTCAATTCATCTTGCTCTGCCACAGCACCACTAAC